AGATCTTGTAGCACTTACCAATGAGGCCCTATCAATTAGTATTACACAGAAGAAATCAATTATAAACACTAATAGAATTAGATCTGCTCTTCATAGACAAACTTGGGATTTGCGATCCTAGGTAAGATCGGTTCAGGATCATGGGATCATTTTCTATCAAATAGGAAGGGCTGTTGCAGAAAATGTACGTATAAGTAATTGCCCCATAGATCCTATATCTATCTTTATGAAGAAGAAATCATGTACGAAGGGGATTCTTATTTGTACAAATGGTACTTCGAATTTGGAACGAGCATGAAGAAATTCACGATAGTTCTTTATCTTTTGAGTTGTTCTGCTGGATCGGTCGCTCAAAACCTTTGGTCTCTACCCGGACCCGATGAAGAAAATAGGATCACTTCTTATGGATTCATTGAGAATGATTCGGATCTATTTCATGGCCTATTACAAGTGCAAGGTGCTTTGGTGGGATCCTCACGGACATAAAAAGATTGCAGTCAGTTTGATAATGATCGTGTGACATTGCTTTTTTGCTCTGAACCAAAGGAGTCCTTATATATAATGCAAGATGGATCTTGTTCTATCGTTCATCAGATATTTCTCTATGAAAAAATACGAATTGGAGTTTTAAGAAGGGGAAGGAGAAGGAGTCCTCGACCCGCAACAGATAGAGGAGGATTTATTCAATCACATAGTTTGGGCTCCTAAAATATGGCGCCCTCCGGGCTTTCTATTTGATTGTATCGAAAGGCCTAATGAATTGGGATTTCCCTATTCGGCCGGGTCATTTCGGGGCAAGTGGATCGTTTATGACGAAAAGTATAAGGTTCAAGAAAAGGATTCGGAGTTCTTGCAGAGCGGAACCATGCAGTACCAGAGACGAGATAGGTCTTCCAAAGAACACGGCTTTTTTAGAATAAGCCAATTCATTTGGGACCCCGCAGATCCACTCTTTTTCATATTCAAAGATCAGCCCTTTGTCTCTGTGTTTTCACATCAAGAATTCTTTACAAATGAAGAGATGTTAAAGAGGCTTCTTACTTCCTAAACAGACCCTCTACATCTATATATACACGCTGGTTTATCAAGAATACGCAAGAAAAGCACTTTGAATTGTTGTTTTAGCGCCAGAGATGGCTTAGAACCAATAATTCATTATCTAATGGACTTTTCCGTTCTAAGACTCTATCTGAGAGTTATAAGTATTTATCAAATATGTTCCTATCTAACGGAACGCTATTGGATCAAATGAAAAAGACATTGTTGAAAAAAAGATGGCTTTTCCCGGATGAAATGAAAATAAGATTCATGTAATCTAACAGGAAAAAGGTTTCCCATTACTTAGCCGGAAAGATATGTGGCCATGAAATAGGGATTAAGTGGAATGGAATTGACTGGGGTGGTAGAGTTGTAAAAACACCTGTTTCTACAACTTAACCCCATGGAACAATATGCTAGTACTGAAACAAGGAAGAATTGAAATCTTAGATCAAAACAATATGTATGAATGGTGTGAACTGCCTAAACAAGAATTCTTGAACACCGAACAACTAGAGCTATTAGTCACTACATAAACAAAATTTCCATAAATGAAGGATGGAAATCCATTGGAAAATCAAACATACGCATGTCAGATGAAATTGTTGTTGCTATCTGTTTCAATAACGAATCAACTGAATAACTAAATAAAATAGATAGGCCTTTCTCTTCGTCTCAGGTCGATAGATCTTCTCAATTGGAAGATCCCCTATATGGATAATACACATTCGAGTTGACCGAACCTAATTCTACTTGTTTTGTTCCGACGTAAAGATATCCACGTAGTGGTTCGCCCTATTCCGATATTCACAACCAAGAAGTAATGGATTCTCTTTAGGATAGGTCCTGAAAGGAGAAGGATGGCTGGAATGCCGCCAGGCGTCTATTATTATATTCTCCCGACCCGATAGTACCAATTTTGGTAACGTCCATCCAGTGCCAAAGTCACTGAATAGGTAAGCACCAATCCCTAAAACGGACTATGTAATGTACTTTATCTACTGGGTTAATGGGGCATTTTACCAGAGTTTTAGATTGTATCAATCTACCCTTGTGTGATTCCTGTTGAATCTTATACTGCGGGGCGCAGGGCGGACGATTCAAAGCGGACTCCCCCTCCCCATTCAATAGATAGAGAAAATCGCCAAGATTTCGCGATCCGTTGCAGAACTTATTATATTTCAATATTATGCCTTGAAGAGGACTCGAACCTCCACGCTTTTTAGCACGACATTTTGAGTCTCGTGTACCTACCATTTCATCACCAAGACATCTTGAAAGTGAATCCTATTCCATAAATATGATATCTATCTAGTATGGTGATTTGAATATATGACAAATGTGGAGTGCTGAAGTATTTCTATTGATCGGTCATGTCATATAGGCCAGAGTCGGACATTTAATTGCTTAGATTTGAACTATCTGGGGGATCCCTATATATATTAATATTATATCAAAAAGATGGAAAGTCAAACCTATATCTCGATTCAATAGAAGTCCAACCAAAGAGGTGAATAAGGTCCCAAATAACGAGAGATATTTAACGACGTAGATTTCGCCTATTCCTAATCCTAAATGGAATGTAACGACGTAGGGATCCCTATGTAAACATAGTATCTATTTAGATACGCTCGACTTACCCCTTCTCATAATGAGAATGTATATAACCTTATTCCGGTCTGGTCTGGTATGGAATGAACTTTTAATCATGGAATGGACTCGATCATCAGATTATAGATTATAAGTTCATAACCTTAGTCCATTCCCATTTTGGGCGGAACCAATCTACTAATTCTTTGATTCCACTTAGTATTAGTAAGATGGATCTTGAACTAAGAAATAGATTCTAGAAGCTAAAAAGGGTATCCTGAGCAATCGCAATAATCTGGTTCATTGAAATTCCTGGTATAGTAGATGCTATCACACATACAATCATACTCAATTCGATGGAATTGTTTGATTTTAAAGGGGATATTCTATAATTTC